GTGGAGATCCTTCTTCTTATCCCTGTATTGTTCCACCATCCTCCTAATAAGGTGGATAGCTTCTGTGGTAGATCGCCCCGGCATGAACCCGAACTGGTTGTCTGAAATAGACACCGTCCTTCGCACTCTCATTTCTACCACTCTCTCCCAAACTTTCATGGTATGACTTAGTAATTTAATACCCCTGTAGTTGTTACCAGCAGGGAAAAATTTCTTGTTCCCAGATGTATTAACAAACCCCTGAATAGTTTTCTTCATCTTGTCCTCTGCTTTCTCTTCTATATTCATGGATCTTTGTTGTGGTCCACACTGCCGGTACGGCACAATTTGAAGAACAGAGTTGTTTACATATTCTTGAACAGCCATTGCAAAAGGCTGGTTATTTCTTTCACAAGCTGAATGTGGTACCATCACTGGATATTCAAGTTTTATTGACGTTCTAGATTTGGAATTGATTTAAAAAGGCATTGTCATAAATTTTGAAAATTTAAGTTGGATAGACATTTGATTCCCAAGTTTGAATATATACTTGTATCACATGTGAGTATGGCCATCTATTGCCATCCACTTTCACAAATAGCTAACAGATGCTTTTGCTTATGGTGCTTTGAATAAGATCTTGGTTCGTTCTAACTGTGTCTGCTTTTTTCTTGTTGGTAAATGTTCACAAACATAGTTTTATTCCTTCACATGGATGAGCAAGTTGATGGCAAGATGTTAGTTGGCACTTATGTCTGTACAGAGCAACCTGGTGAATTCAGATGGCAGCCTGGTTCACTTACCCAGGTTTCTTACTCGTTTGAGAAATCAATTTATTTCATTATTCCTACCTTGTCATAGAGTGAGGATTATTATGATATGCAGGCTGTTTCCAATGGATTCTGGGTTGTCTTTGAGGATGTTGATAAAGCACCTCCTGATGTTCAGTGCATCTTATTGCCTCTGTTAGAAGGCGCAACTTCGTTCTTCACTGGGCATGGAGAGGTATTATGGAATGTTGTCTCTATCTGTTCTAGAAGATCTCATGCTTATCCNGTGCGGTTTTGTGTAGCTCTTTAACTAGCTTCTTGGAAACATCTGTTTTATTTCAAGTTAATTATTTGTTTGATTTTTTGTAGCATTATTCTTATGCTTATTTATGCGCATGTTTAAATCAATTTGATAGTGATATTGATTGAACACTTCAATGATTGAAACTGTTCATTATTCTGAAGCAAGGAGATAAGTCAAGATTCTATGCTTTAGTCTTTACATCTGAATGGAAGTGAAATTCTTTTTCTTCTGATTCATTGGACAAGTTGTGATTTCCTAACTTGTGGCAACTATATCTTTCCCATATGGAATATATTCAGCAGTGCTTTAGCCATCATTATTCATATTCCATTTCCTGACAAATCTCAGAACAAAAAAGATGTTAGAGGACGGTGTGTGTATCTTGCCCATTTAGTTAGTTAAACAGATGATGTTGCTGTTTGCCACCATGATTTGTTGTTTCCGAAGGCTAGCCCCTTTTTTGGGTCTCCGTGCTGATTGATCCTTGGATCCTAGCATTCACAAGTTGATTGGTGAAATGCTACACTGCTTCTTGTGCATATTATCCTGATGATGAAGGAAAACTAATACGTATTAATCACTGCAGGCAATCCGAGTCCATGAAGGTTTTCGGTTATTTTCCACGATGACAAGCACTAAGATAGATATATCTATGGAAGGTTGGTATTGCGACTTAGTATAAATTTTGGTTTTCTTGTCCACGTTCTATGTACCTAACTTAAAAAAAAACATTCTTAGTATACTTGTTTGATTTTCCCTAGTTGCTAGTATTTTGGAGTCTGCTGTTAGTTTCTTTTCCCCCCTTTCCTTCTCTTTCCCTCAGTCTATTTGTGAAAATAGCACGCGCTCATGGTTTCCGATGCTTGGTAAGAAATAGATTCTGTATTTGGCTGTTTGCAGAAGTTTTTTTTTGTTGTTTTCTGATAATTGGTTGGTGAACTTCTTTTGCTGCTTGAGTGCTTCTCAAAAGTTCTGGTCGACTTTCTTCCTACATGTTTGCACTGTGATTAAATTTAAGTAGAAGTGGGTTTGGGACCTCAAAGTTCTCAAAGCTCTTTCCAAAATACCTTCAGTACCGTGTCAGTCACTTGTGTCTTTGGGTGGTCTGGCGTTCTCCAACAATTGTGAGTTCTTTCCCAATTGTTGGCTAGCATTCTCAGAGTGTGAGGAAAGCCAGCTCCGAGTTTAAAACTGACATGATTCTGGCATATGACAACTACAAGCTCTTGTTGTCAGGATTTGTCATTTTTTTAGTAGCTCCTATTAAAGGTGGATGTCTCTATTGACCGTTCGTAATGGTACCAATACTAATGTTTTGCTATTAATGTTATTGATGTCGATAAGACTTTCTTTTATTGCAACATTTATATCTTGTTATATATTTTACCCTTCTTTATTATTTTGGGTTCGTTTCCATCGTTAGCTGAAAGCGGCATCGTTCTTTAATAGGTAGGAGTTCTGTTAGTGCACTTTGGCGGAGAGTAATGATCGCACCTTCAAGTCATCAGGACTTGCTGAAGATTGTGAACAAGTGGTATCCAGAATTGGAGTCTCTGGCAGCACAACTTATTGGTACGATAGATCTAATGGTTCTTCATAGGTTTTCTACCTCTAGAATGTCTAATTCTGTGGGCACATTTTGCAGGAACATTTTATAGAGTTAATGAGCTAGTAGGATCTCATTTTGGAACTGGTGCCTATTTAGGTTTTCATGGAAGGTTTTCACTAAGGTAAGCTCTATCACGACCCGTCATTTGAATCTGTACAATATTGTCGGCTTTAACGATGTCTTACCAATTGCAGAGATCTTCTCAAATGGTGCAAGAGAATTGCAGGTTTAGGTGTTCATTTTAGCAGGGATGGTCTATCAGCTTATGAAAACATTTATAAGGAGGTCTTACATGATAACTAACGCTCAATTTGTCTTTTCCTTGCTAAATATTTCAGTTATGCTAAACAGGTGGATGATTTGACCTTGTAGGCTGTAGATATCTTTGCTTCCTTTTCAACTTCACATGAAAAACGGTTGGCTATTGTGAAAGAGATAGCTAAGATGTGGTCAGCAGGACCTGTGGACACATTGTATCCCATTGATAGGCCTGTTATTCAGGTATCTGTTATTTTGTAATGTGATATTTTCATAACTTACAATATAGCAGCTTCATTTTCTTATTTGCAACATCTCTGCAGGAACTTGCATCTGATTTACGTATCGGAAGGGTTATACTTAAGCGTAACCACAGGGCTGTGAGTGAATGAACTCTGATCTTTTTTGGTAGAGCATGATATGTTCTTTTGTTCCTTTCTGAAGTTCTTTACCATTGTTGTAGACCTGGGAAGAGAAGAAGCATTTCGTTGAGATTCGGAATCTAATCCACGTGCTTGAGAGGATAGCGTGCTCTGTTAAGTATAATGAGCCAGTTCTTTTGGTGGGTGAGACTGGTACAGGGAAAACCACTCTTGTACAGAGTCTTGCTTCAAGACTTGGTCAAAAACTTACAGTCCTGGTATGTTTGGGAAATATCTGTGAACAAGAGGAATTAAATTTGCATTTAACAGCCTTCCATTTCATCAACAAATTACATTATGTTGCAGAATTTGAGTCAGCAAAGTGATATCACAGACTTGTTGGGTGGATTCAAACCAATGGATGCTCAGTTCATCTGTATACCCCTTTATAAGGAGTTTGAGAACCTTTTTACCATTACATTTTCGTCCAAGGTAAGTTTCTAAATTTTACCTTTTTAAATGTTGTTTCTTTCAGCTTTAATCAATATCACATACTATTGTTTCAGGAGAATGAAGTTTTTCTTGTACGTTTAAGGAAGTTTGTATCTGAAAAGAATTGGAAGATGTTATTAGGCGGATTTCAGAAAGGTGTCGGAAAGATAATTGAAATAGGAAGATCTGGGTCTGGTACAAAGCGGAAGAGACCTTTGGAGGATAAACTGATAAAGGCTTGGGAAGCCTTTTCCCTGAAACTAGATAAAGCGCGTATGCAGATTAGTGCTTCTGGTGGAATGATATTTTCTTTTGTAGAAGGAGCTTTTATTTCTGCACTTAAGAATGGTGAATGGATACTGCTTGATGAGGTGAACTTGGCTCCTCCAGAGACCTTGCAGCGAGTTATCGGTGTACTTGAAGAAGAAACTGGATCTCTGTGTTTGACTGAAAGGGGTGATGTTGATTATGTCAGTAGACATTCGAACTTCCGCTTATTTGCCTGCATGAATCCTGCAACTGATGCTGGGAAGAGAGACTTGCCCATTTCGTTAAGGAGCAGATTTACAGAATATTTTGTTGATGATTTGTTGGACGACAAAGACCTTTCTTTGTTTATTAGTCAGTTTATTGATGGGGACCATTCAAATAGAGAACTAGTCAATAAAATTGTACAGTTCTATAAAGCAGCCAAGAAACAATCTGAAGAGAAGTTACAGGATGGTGCTAACCAGAAGCCCCAATATAGTTTAAGATCTCTTTACCGTGCACTAGAATACACAAAGAAAGCAGAGAGAACTTTTGGGNTTGCATAGACAGAGTACTAAAATCTTTGCTGGAAAACATGGTTTCATTACTCCACGTGATCTGTTTCGGTGGGCTAACCGTCTCAGGGAATTTGGGAAGTCCTACGAAGACCTAGCTCTTGACGGTTATTATTTGATGGCTGAGAGACTCCGAAATAATGACGAGAAAAAAGTTGTCCAGGCAGTTGTCGAACAGCAGTTGCGGGTTAGACTAGCTGAGGATGATATGTACAAGCAGGTTTTCTCTCTTTTACCTCCCGCTACTTATGCTGCATTCTACGTAGTAATAAGTTTTTAACACTCATTGTTGTTATTGATGCTGGGGAGATTCTTTCATCACTAGAATTTTATGGAGTTACCAGGTTTACGTTCCTTGACTTCTAAAGATATTGCAGAAAGTTCTCCTAATGAAATTATTTTTTGCTTGATACTGGTTTCTTAAATGTTGAAAGAGGAAGCCTGTTGATGCAGGTGCTGAGAGAGGGGGGAGGGGGAGGAGACTATATTCTTTTAAGGGCCGTTTGGTTGGAAAGAAGTTATCCTAGGATTAATTATCCCGGGATTAGCTATCCCGGAATTAGTTATTCCACCTTTCCACGGGGATAAAAAAACACTACAATCCCGGGATTAATTATACCGCAGTTTTCTACCGACCAAACATGGGATAAACTCTTCTTAAATTTAGTCGCGGGATTAGTTATTTCTTATCCCTCATACCAAACGAGCCCTTATTGATTAAGTAAATAGGATTTTATTTACAATGGCACAAATAGCACCCGTGTAGAAGGGAACAAATAGCACCCGTATACAAGGAATACAACAACAACACTACAAATCCAATGTAATCCCACAAGTGGGGTCCGAGGAGGGTAAGATTTTATCTAACTGTATACAAGGAATATACCAAAGAAAGAAAACCTTACAAAATGATATGGTTTTCTACAAACAACACCCAATCTTCTATACCTGTAGGAAACTCATGGGTGCGCCAAAAGAAAATTAGGGATGAAAGGCTATTCCTCAAATAAAGGGTAGTCTGGTACACAAAGCATCCCGTGTTCACGCAGGGTTCGGGGAATGACCGCAACCAAAGGGGTGTAATGTAGGCAACCCACCTTGATGCATAAGATGCTATTCTTCAAATGAACAAAATCCTTTTGTATTCCATCCAAAACTCTCCTATTTCTTTCTCTCTCGGGAGAATATATTATTTTCTTCCTGAATTACTAGCGATACTCGATGCAATATCTTCCTGGTGATGTTCAAAAGCTCATTATTATCATGAAATGGTAAAACCTAAAAGATAGAATCTACTTGGGTGTGGGAGAAAGAGATAGAGGGGGAGCAGATAGGTATGCTAATTAGATAGCCTATGACGGGTTAGGGGATTAAGAAGACCGAGTAAAGAAATGGTATTAGGTTAGATGGAATGCTGGGTCATCTTGTGGTGATCAAATTTTATTTGTGGAGGCAGTTGACAACCTTAGAAGGGTAGAAACTGTTGTAAGAGCGGAGCTATTGCATTAAGCGCACACGAGTCTTTTCTTATTTTAGTTGGCATTTGAGAACATCGTGTTCTCGTTTTTTTTTCCTGAATCAACAACTAAGACCAGATCAAAAGGAACCTTTCTGAATATAAATGTTACCTTTCTTAAAAAAAGGAACTTTCTGAAGTTGGCATGTAGTCGAATTATCGGATCTGAGTTACTTATTAGATTGATGTCATATTCTTTTGATTGTCTTGTGTCACTTGTTTCATATCAAACACATGTCATGGTGACCTTTCACTCTTTTCTTGGGGGATAAAGTAATTACTTATGGAAGTTGTGAGAAAAGACACCCGTAAACAATAAGTGTATATATATATATATATACATATTTTTTTTTTGATAAGGCGAAGGTTTCATTAAAGGAGTACCAAGAAGGTACCTAAAAAATTACAAGTTACCGCATAGTTGCATCAGTTACCTTCCCAAAATACTTATAAAATCCATAAACTGATCTAAGTTTTCAACTATATTTCCTTTACACCAGAAATACAAGTTTTGAAGGCAACTGTTTTTTGCAAAAGCTAGGTGATTTCTTTGGTTCTCAAAACATATCTTATTCCTTTCCAACCAAATGGTCCAAAAGATGCAGAGGGGTATAAGTCTTCCAGGTTTTCTTCAGATCTTTCCTAATTTTCTGGTATTGCCAACACAACAGTAGGTCTTTCACATTCCTTGGCATCACCCAATGAACTCCACTCATGTTCAGAAAAAGATTCCAAATTTGTTGTATTTGGCTACAATGCAAAAAAGAAGATGTTCCATCGATTCTTGGGACCTTTCACACAAAAAACATCTACTGCACAAAGGTATTCCTCTTCTCTGTAACATCTCTTGAGTTAAGCATGCCCGCCTAGCTACAATCCATCCGAAACAAACAACTTTAATAAACAAAACGTATATCAAAGGCTAAATACCTAGATACCCCTTAAACTTGGTACCATTTGTAAGTTAAGACACTTCAACTTTCAGAGTGACCATATAGTCACTTTAACTCGGCTAAAGTGTATCTCTTAAATTCAAGTGTCTGATGTGGCAAACTGCATGTTCAAAAAAACAATTTTGAGCGCATGAGTCCTTTTGTACCCCTTTTCATTTTATATTTGGAAAAAACTCTTAAATTTATAGTGATCTCCTCCCACCTCCCGCGAGCATGCGATCGAAAATAATGGCCGCTCCAATCTAACAATNTTGCATTTTACTCTCCCCCATCAAAAACCAAAACTACTTCAAATTTTAGATTGGCAGATCAACAAAAACCTCGAAAATGTCTAATTTTAATCTTAAAAAACGGAAATCTAGGTGATGGAAATCCAAACGCTTTCATCTCAGCTAAAATTTTTTCCTTATTTAGTTAGGCATAACAAGTCAAGCACAATTGAAGCCAACTTTAAAATTTTCTGGCTGCTAACGTCATTTTTTGATGATGAAAAACTTTGTTACTGGGTTAGCCTCTAACTGACAATTTTAAAATCGTTGGTTAATTATCGCTATTAATTAAATCAAGAACAGAGTTCAAGAACTAAAAATAACATTAATTTTTGTCCTTACAGTCAAAGGAGTAGAGTGAGAACTAAATTTAAATATGGAATAAGCAAAAGATGGATATGACTAGCGAGGACTAGGCTTGGGAAGAGATGATGATATCCGACACTGGAGAAGAAGAAGGGACGGTACAAGGTTGGGAAGAAAGGGAGGAGACAATCCGGGGGTGGGGAGCAGAGTTTTGTTTTTTTCTTTTTTATTTATTTCTTATTGTATTTTTAGGCTTTTTAGTTACTTGTAAAAGACGTATCGTTCAGTAACTGGTTCACTTGACATGGCAATAGGAAGTGTGCTTTGCGCTCCTAGCTTTATGGACACTTGTGTTTAAGCGGCACACTTTGGCCGAGTTAAAGTGTCAATTTGGTCATTAGGAAAGTAAAATATCTAACTTACAAATCATGTCAAGTTTAAGTGGCTATCTAGGTATTTGGCCTATATCAAAACGTAAAGGTTGCCTACATAAATACAAGGGGGAATCGAGCTATTCTCTACGAAAGGCACACACTCATCATCTATACAAGCGGCAATCAAGTTAATCTAAATAAATGTCACCTCATAATCTGTTTTGTATTCCACCATTTCAGATGGCCTTCTATTTCTTTCTATCCACAGTACCACATAACTGCCATGGAGGCTACATCCCAAGCCTCCTATTCCTAAATGCCTTGTCCATGATTTCCTTACTTTTGATACTCCCTCCGACCCAATTTTTGTGATGCACTTCGGCTAGGCACGGAGTTTAAGAAAAAAAGGATAGACTTTTGAAATTTATGGTCTAAAATTAACCATAGATATTTGTGGCTATAAATCATCTCATTAAAGGTAAGTGGGTAGCTTGAAGCTAAATTGTTTCATTTCCAAAAATAAGAAGTATCATTCTTTATGGGGCAGACTAAATGGGAAAGTGCATCACATAAATTGCGACAAAGGAAGAATTTGTTATTGTACTTTGAACAAACTTAGAACATTCCACCAAAGCTGGCTGGTCTGCAGTGCATTATTAAATGGTTCACATCTTCACGTAAGCATTTGCACATGAAGCATGAAGTAACTTGCTAGTTTGCCTTCTCAAATTTTCCTTTTTATTATTTCTCATCTTGTCTAAGATGAACTTAATTGGAGCAACATGATCATTGGCGAAATGGTCATGCCAGTAAACACTTGTGATCTGCTGAAGTGTTGGAATTATAATGGGGGTATAGTGAGACAGTAGAAATGGTGGCGATTGGTTCCTGCTTGCATAGTTGGTGCTGTTGTAGTAGTATTACTTCTTGCCACTATCAATGTGAATATTAAAACCTACCGTGTAGCTCGTAGTATCAGCGCTGGTGTATACGGAATGTTCTCCTCCTTATTAACCTTGTATAGGACTTCATGGAGAAGATGCTTCTCTCCTTTACCTTCCATTTCAAGGAGTGCTGTTCTGATAGGATAATATTCCGTCTAGAGAGCAGAGTGCTCCATTAGATAATTCCTCCATCCCCCAGTTTTGTAACTTATCCCTAAACCTTAAATTACATATTGTTTTCCCGATTTGTTCTTCATAGACGTAGTGAATTATTGCCTCTCTGGCTCGAGGTATGAAAATCCACATGGTATTTGAAACTTATGGAGTCACCACAACACCGTTTATGCCTACAGAAGCTAATCTTGTATACACTACATGCCATGTAAGTGACGTACCAGCTGAATGTTTCCCATTCCTTCATGATGCTTCTCCGCAGACCACATACATAGGATATGATAATGTTGCTCGTTCTCCACCCCGTCCTGAATACCAAACTTGTCTGCGATTACAGTTCCCCAAAGTGCATGTTCTTTATTCTTGAACTTTTAGCCACTTCCCTAGGATGGTGTTGTTGAACGTCTTCAAATCTCTTACTTCAAGCCTTCCAATCCTGATGGATTCTGTGACCA